CTCACCGAGCGCCGCTCCCGGTGTCTCCACGGGCGACCGGAGCGGGAGCGGACCCCACGCCCACAGAGCGAAGCCCCGCCCCTTTTCCTTCGGCCCCGCCCATCCCCGCGTGGCCAGGAGAATGGTGGGCGTGGCCACATCAGGGTGGGCGTGGCCACGCAGAATTCCATATCTAAATCCGCTTTGTCCTGTTTGGGAAGGGGATGAGTGAGAAAAGCGTGAGGCCGAGGGATGGCTCAGGGGGTGATGGTGCTAGAGAGGTTGGAGCACGGATATCCTGGGAATTTTGGGGTTGTGGGTGTCGCCAGGGAGGGGCAGGTTTGGTATTTGCAGAGGCTTGTCTGCTGCCCGAACGAGCCCGGCGAGCCTCTGCTTGTGGGGCTTTGATCCTGGGATCACCTGGGATTTGTCTCCAGAGGCAGGGGAGGGTGTGGATTAAAATTTAAATATGGGTTCTTGCCTGCGAGCTGCAGGAGGGGGAAGGGCTGGAAAATGACGGCCCTAGAATAGATTGTCCAGGGAAAATGTGGCTGCCCCATCCCTGGAAGTGTCCAAGGGCAGGTTGGACAGTGGGGCTTGGAGCTCCACCCTGGGATAGTGGAAGGGTGGAATGAGATGGGCTTTAAGGTCCCTCCCAATTCCAGCCGGTCTGGGATTCTATGAAATTCCAGGAAAACTGGGGAAGATGCTGCGCTCATCCCCATCACCACCTCTGCCCGGAGCATCCCTGCCCTGAGAGCTCCAGGAAAAGCTCTCCTTGCTCTTTTCCATGGTTTTTGCACGGGCGGGTTGTCGCTGTCCCTGGCTCCAGCCTGTCTCCACAGCAGCTTTTATGGGAGAGGAGATGGGATCACCAGGCTGCTCGGCTCCTCTTTATTGCCATTCCAGCTGGGAACACAGGGATGCACGGGAGGACCTTGTCCTGCTTTATGCCCCAATATAAAAAAACAAACCAAAGGAAATCTTTAGGAAGACTGTTAGAAGAGAAGGAATTCTTCATTCCATTCCTAATTAAAAAGACAGGAATCCAGTTTTCCCCAGTTTTCCCCAGCCAGGAGGGAAGCGTTGCCCTCTCGTGGGCTAAAGCAGCAGCTCCCCACCATTCAGCCCTAACCGAGTGCTTAATTACCGGCGTTAATTAACTACCTGTGGCCTCACAGTGCAGCACTCTGCTCCTCCTTGGGTTCCCTGGAGCTTGGCAGGGATTCCCAGGAGCTTTGCTGGGGCTCCTGTCCCGTTCCAGTTTGCCAGGGGCACACACTGGGAGGGCACCCTGGGCTATGAACTGGGCACACTGGTTTGAACTTTGTCTTTTCTCTATTAAACATTTATTTTCCTTTCCACCAGGGGTGGGATAAAGACTCAGCAAGATGGGATCTCTTGTTTCTCCTTCCTTTTGTTCCCCCCCAGACATTGACCCAGTGGATGTCTCACCTTTGTCTGAAGGCAGGACTGAGTTCTTCGGATCCTGGTGATATAAGCACAGGTTTCCCTGTCTCCTAGAAACACAAATATATATGGAAATGTTTATTATGATCCCTGGATCCCTGGGAATGTCCAAGGCCAGGCTGGACAGGGTTTGGAGCAGCCTGGGATAGCAGAAGGTGTCCCTGCCACGGCAGGGGGGTGGCTCTGGGTGGGCTTTGAGATTCCTCCCAACCCAAACCAGTCTGGAGGTGAGATACTGGGAGCAGGACTGGGAGCAGGACTGGGAGCAGTATCCAGGGTGGAATCCTGTCCCCCAGCACCGTTTATCTCTGTGAACTCTCGCTATTTCCTGCATAACTGGGTTCAGAGTTCAGCCAAGGGCTGTCTGCAGTGCACAGCCTGGGAGGTTCTGCAGCAGCTCTGCTCTCAGGGTGCACTTTGGTCAGTGAAAGCAAATCCAGATTTCTTCTGCCTGTTTGACACTGCTGCTCCTTCCCACCTTGGATGCTCTGTATCCCTTTCCAAGGAGGGGGGGAATTCACTCAATGAACTCGGGGGGTTTTCCCAGATGGATCATGGAAATCTGTGATGCTGGAGAAAATGAGCCACATCACTTCCAGCCCAAATGATCCTGGCAGGAGCCAGACAGGAGCAGGCAGAGCAGAAAAACTCACTTCTTGGACAAAATCATCAAAATTATACCATGTTCCCCCTCAAAAGCCAATGAGTTTTCCCCAGAATCTGTGCAGAGCAGGAATTTTGGTATGGTTTTCCCAAGATCTTTGTAGGATGGGAATTTTGGCTTTACTGAGCTTGTATTTAACCAGAAAACCAGGAAAAAATGATCCTGCAATTAGCTGGGAGCAGGCAGGGGCTCGCTCCTGGTTAAAGGCTGGTGCAGGGTGGAGGTTGTTGTCCTGCCTTTCAGCAACCCTGGGATTATCCCTGAGCATGGAGTCCAGGGTGACAGCCACAGAAAGGGACCTCATAAACAAAGCAGCCAGCTGTGCACAGCCAGCAGCCAAGGAAGGCTCTCCCTGGAGCACAGGAGTGATCAAATTCCACGTGGGAGAAGCGGAGGTGCAGGAGCCAGCACAATGGGATTTCCAGGACAGCCGTCCCTCGTGGCTCCTCTCTGCAGTGCCTGGCACCGTGTCCCTGGCCAGGAGCAGCTCCTGCTCCCCCAGCTCCATCCCTGGAGCTGCCATCCTTTCCTTCCAATATCATTGGAGAAGGAATGGGAGCCCCCATTCCCATTCTGAGCCCCCTCAATGTTTATTTTCCCTTACTATTTATCATAGATTCCTTCCACAAAGGAATCCCTTCAATCCCTGTTTCACTTAAATCCCCATCCCTGGGGCTGGATCCCATCCTGCTGGAGCCAGCCTCCCCTGGAAAAGGCTCTCCAAAAGGAGCACATGTGATAAACAATCCCATTTTGAGTGGACACCCCTGGGAAGAGCCTTGCTATGGATGTTCTGAGCAATCATTAACACAACAAAAACGATTACACACCAAATATCCTTGTGTTCCCCATAACAAACGCCAGCCACCCTTCAGCATCCTCTTTCTTGGGTGTAAAGACTTATTTCTCCACTAAAAATTAACCAAATGAATAAATGCTTGGAATTATGCCTGTGGGAATGAGTAATTTCCTACAGTTCATAGAAATATTTCCCATTTTTGAACCATATTCTGGTTTATCTTTCCAGATAATCACAAAACCACTCTCCCCTAGTTCCAGCTTGGCCAGCTGGTAAAGCATCTGACACCAGGAATGGCTAAAACACTCTGAGCATGAACATTCCCTTATTTATTCATTTCCTTCCCTATTTTTGGGCTTTGTGTTGTTGGAATGACGCAGCAGGAGTGCCCAGGGACAGACCTGAGTGCTGTAGCTGGGGTGTGCTCTCCCTCAGGGGCACAAGGAGTGAGTTCCATTGTTGCCTCACCTCCATATCAATCCCAGCCGGTCCATATGGACCCACAGAGGGCTGAACGTGGGTGCAGGCTGGGATCTGCTCCATCCCTGCTCCAGGGATGCTCCAAGCAGTCAGGAGGATGTGGGCAGCAGGATGTGGGCAGCCAGCACTGGCAGAAGAAGCCTTTTCATCACTCCCATCCCAGATGAGACCTTGGTCTTGATCCAAGGACTCCGTGTGATGGGTGGGTTTTTCCCTCCAAGGAGGGATTTTCACTGCCTGGGTGTGAGCTGCTCATCCTTCACCCACGGGCAGCCTGAGGCAGATAATGGGATGCAGGGGTTGGAGGAAAACATGTAGGAACAAAGGAAAACCATAACGTAGGAGAGAAGAGTTTTCGTATCTCCATCCTTAGATATTTTTAGTCTGAAAGGCACAAATGCATCACTGAGCTCTGGAAGGAAAGTTCCCCGCTGCTCTCCATGTCAGAGCCTTTGGAGCAGTGTTCTACCTGGGCACCTACATCCAGGAGCAGGAAAACCACGTCCCTTTAGCTGGAGGAGACATCTCCCACTATCCCTGGCTGCTCCCAGCCCCATCCATCCTGGCCTTGGACACTTCCAGGGATCCAGGGGCAGCCACAGCTTCTCTGAGCACCCTGTGCCAGGGCCTCACCACCCTCAGAGGGAAGAATTTCCTTCCCAATATCCAATTTAAACCTGCTCTTCTTCAGTTTAAATCCAATTCCCTTTGGGAAAAGCCCCTCTCAGCAGATCAGCTGCATCTGCTCTCTGCTCAAGGCTTGGAGCAAGTTCTCAACACGGGCTGCCAGGAAGAGATGGGCTCTGGTGGGGCCCCACACGCCCCTTCCCACCCGGATAGGAGCTGAGGGAGCAGTTGGCATGGCTGGCTTGGAAGACTCTGGTTCTGTGCTAATCCAGGAAAACACAATCATTCCTTTCCCTCTAATTTTCAGACTTGCTGCAAGTGTGAAGAGGACAAAGAGCAGCAAATGGGATGGAGGCAGCAGCCCAAGCCAGACCCTGTTCTGGTGCCCAGCTCTGCCAGCGAGGTTTGGCTCCACCACCACGGGACTGCGAACAAACCCAACCGAGCCATGGCACTGCTGGGTTCCCCTCCTTCCTTTGCTCCTCCATCCTTTTTGCATTATTAAGTGTACTCCCATCTAATAGGATTTTATATCAAAGTTTTTCCCCAAAGTGGGAAAAAAGGAAAAAAAACAATTAGGCAGGTCTAGCCTGGCACGCAGCAACACCATTGAGCAGGAGGCTGCTACGCTGCCGTTGGTCTGGAGCCTCTTTAGCATTTTCATTAGCTCTCCAAAGCTTTTGATGTCCCTAATTTATGCCACAGACACTGCAGAGGAGGCAGGCAATGATTAAGATGAGCTTTTACTCTTCTGGAGTGCGCCGGGTACCTCGTGGCTACGGACCCTGCATATAAAGCAATATTGCTTATTATTCCGAGCTGTTTGTTCCATTAATCATGAGCCTGCTTTGCTCTGGGAAGAGGAATTGGAATACAGCAATATTCTGTCTGCTTGTTTTTAAAATACATGTGTGGGTGGACACTCCAGCTACTGCTCACATTTTTCTCTCGCAAGAGGAGCTGTTCGTGATTCTCCTCCCCAGTGTTTTCTCTTGACACTGATTTTGTTCATGGAACTCGGGAAGGGAACTGCCTCAAGCCTGTCAACCAGTG